AGAAGAAGACTCCTGGGGTTTTTTGAGCATTATGAAACCTCTTGGGACTGGATGTCTGCCAACAGTTCGTTCATTAGAATACAACATTGAAAGAAAGTATAAAAGCCTGAAAACATATCTTCTTCCACAAAATAATAGCCCTGACCATATTTTCCTGATAAAACAGAAACCAAACCCAGATTTACTTATGTGGTTTAATAGATGCATAGCAAGATGAATATTTCATTACTGATTTATCAATTATGAGCAATACACTGTATTGCCTCTTTAATTGTCTCTCCAATTAGCTCTCTAAAAAATAGAAAAGGAAGAAAATTAAAAGTATTTACAGATATTGCCTGACCAGTCTTATGGCTCCTGTGTAGAGTTGTTGAGTTGCTATTTATTAGTCTTATAATGACTTTGTATCTAATTAAAAATTCAGGACAGGCTCTGTAAATAAGCAGTAGACAATGTCTGGTCTAAAAAAAGGAGCTACCCAGTCACAGAAATGAACTGTGAATATCAGAAACTCCATTTGTCCTGAATAATTGCACATTTACAAACTGTTTTGCATAGTAAAATATTTTGTATGTTCAAAACAACTGGAACAGTGAGTAGAAGTGTAATTTATCTAGGAGTTGTATGAAATTTATGGAAGGCTACTGATAGAAAGAATTTCAAGCTTAAAGCTACTCCTTTCCCCTTGGTCTGTGGTATGATTTCATAAACTCTCTGATTTTAGGGTGTGCACTATTTTCCTAAAGTCTCTCTACCAGTGCTGATCATTCTAATGGTTTAAAAACAGTATGGTTGTTTTGCTCCTTTGATCATCCATAATATTTTCTTTCAGACTAGTTCCATATTTCCAAATATTTCCATAAGTCATGTTTTCTAAACTCTTTACTTGTTATATTCCCTTGCACTACCTCATCTTTCTCAAAATATTGCACATAAAAGTGATTTTTTTTTTTATTAATCAAGCAGAATGCAACAACCATTTGACATAAATTTTTCACTGTGAATATTTTTCCCAAGTCTACACACAATGCAGGTTTTTGCCATAATATCGTGTTCTCTGTCCTTTGTGGACTGCTACAGCACCCCAAAATTTTTTGCACAACTCCTGATGTTTTTATATTTGTGCAGTTTATTATTTCCTTCCTACAATCTTTCCCTCTTTAAATAAGGTAACTAATTACAAATTTTGGGATGTCCTATTTTCCCAGAGTGCAATATGTCCTTGATATAATCCATGTCTGCATTATATTTTGCAAATGTTATACTTCTGTATCACTTGTTGCTTTCTTTGAAAGATCATAGCAGTGTGCATCCAAATTTTGAAAGTTGGCGAATTTTTGTTCTTGAGACTTTTCCATCAGTTCATCCTTTTTTTATTGGAGAATCTCATTGCCCCATTGATGGGGCCTTAAACTGTGAGCAAAAAGGTCACACACAAGAAATGGTGGTTCCTTAATAACATATGCACCCTTAGAGCAGTGATTATTGACATACATCCATAATGCAAAATATCTTATACCCATCTCAGTTCCTTAGTGTATGAAATCAACTGTAATAGCTTATATAACTCAGATGATATTAGGTCTCAATGTGTACTCTATTGGAAATAATCTAAACTAAACCAATCCTGTTTGCAAAAGTGATTAAAAAGTGAAAAAGCAAAAAATATATGCAGGTAATGTATATGGACTATTTAGTTATTTTAATGAAATATCCATAGGGCAGAAGGTTTACAGTTAACTTTTTTTAAGAGTTCCTGCTATTAGTGGACAGTGGATTCCATTTGCTAACTTATTTCTTACTGCTTGGTCAGTGACTTTTGAAGAAAATTAAAGTTGCATATAAATGTTCTGTTTAGAAGGAAACAAGCTGGTAATTCAGGATGACTTATTTCAGATAAGAGAAGAAGAGGGATGGTTTCTAATATTCCAGTTGGATTTTTTTCAGCTGTAGCTGGGATTTGCTGGGATTTGCTAACTAAGGGACAGAATTCTGACATCTGGTCCTTTGAGTTAATCTTGTATTTCAGCAGTGCGTGCAAAGGAAGAGCAGCAGATAAATGTATTAATTTCAGCAGGACTATCAGGCCTTAGGAAGCTTACACTCAAACAAGCCTTGTCCTTCTCTGCACAAAACCCAGCCCGCGTGTTCAGCTTTGACGTGACAGAGACGGTGGTGGAGCTTGTAATGGCCAAACCTCAGCCATCCTGATTCTCTCTCCACACACAAAGCAAGCACAGCCCTCGAGGACCAGAAGGTTTTGGTTGCTGGGATGTATAAAGCTGGAAACAAGAATTTGTTTTGAAATTGAGTAAATCAAGAGAGTTTACTCCAGTTTCAAATGTCTTAACACTAGCTCCAAGATCCTTTTGTTCTCTTATTGTTAAATTCACTATTCTCTAACACCCCTTCTTGTTCTGGTTTCTCTGGATTTTTTTTCACCTAAATTTAATTTTGGGTGAAGAGTTTTTGGGAGTACAGTATAGCCCTCTTTCCAACATCTCATTAATTTTTCCATTGTCTCCTTCACTGTAGCTCAGATTCTATCTCCACCAAAGCACTGGCATTGGTTTGTACTGAAATTCTGCACTGAAAGTAACTGCACAAAGTGTCAAGATTATTTTACCTGTGTGGGTACTCAGACATTTAAGTGGGGCACTCAGGCTGCACCTAGGTTGCTAATAAACTTGGAATCGTTTTTTTGTCCTTTTCATGAAACTATTGAAAATCTGCACATGCTAAGAGTGTAATTATTGGTAGAGTGTGGCTGAGGAATACTGGATGCAATGAAGGTGCCAGTATGCTAATAAGTCACTTATTACACATGCTAATAAGTCACTTAAGGAAGCCATGAAGACACTTTAGGCTCTGCTGGCTTTAAGAAAATATTTGTAGTAAATAGATCAGATTCATGTCAACCTCTGTGTTATTGGGTTCTTCCCCACTTTTTAACTATTTAGATGCTACACTTAGGTCAAAATAAAATCTGGTTTTGCATATCTGTTGTTATAAAATCAAAATGAGCAATGAAAATCATACACAGGGTAACTGCAGCAGAAGAAATACACACACTAGACATTTTTCCAAACTTTTATACACAGCAGGCATGTGAAATCAGCAGCAGCAGGCTGAGTAGCTTTCATGTGCTTTTTGACTTAGGAATTGAGTGACAACTTTTCACTGCTTTAGAGTGCATGCTATCTGCTAATGACTTTATTTTAATGAAAATAAAATGGACTGGTGTATGTCATCATATTAAAAACTATAGATGCTGCATTATGGGAGTACTCCAGGTAAATACTAAAAGCTTGAATGATTATACAATGAAAGAAATATTTTCTTTGCATGAGAAAGAGATTTTTAGTTCTTTTGTGTCTTACTGTTTATTTCCCAGTATTCACCTTGTTCATACTAACAAAATATTAGAGAATGCTTTTGAATCACCAGTGCACTAAATCAGGGTATAGGAAGCTTGTAGCATGTTAAGATTTTATTATTTTCTGTCTCTGGTCAAAAAAAAAAAAATAAAAAAATAAAAAAAAGTTGATTAGAGAATGGCTCAAGCAGAAAATAGCAAATAGAAGAAACTCAAATTAAGGCTGGAATATAGTTATTTTTCAACGTGGACAGGCTGAGACTGGAAGCACACCTGGGTGTAATGCTGCCATTTGTGCTGTCTGAAGGGAGATATATTTATTGCTGCTTACATCTTTGCCCTGTGTGATGGTTGTTATTGGCAGCTATGACTTGCAAACATGCTGCTCTCCTGTCCTCTTTTGCAACTTAATGTTTGTCTTCCTAAGAAAATGAGAAAAGTTAAATGCTTTCTTGAATACTTGACTATGTGGAAAAATATCTTCCTCAGATAAAATAGCAGAAGACTCCATGAGGCTTAAATTTCTGCATTCTGGTTTTGCCCTGCTCATGAGACTGAACACATCATTGGTGCTTAATGTCCAGAGACTCAGGAGTTGGAACTTGAATTAATTCTTCATCTCTTTGCTTTTTCTCCTGTGGAACATACAGCAGGCTCCTCTCAACTCTGGTGTATCTCACTTTCCTTTTTGTATATAACAGCAATGCTGGCCTTTTATTTTAGAAATAAAATGGGTGGGGGTACTTCTGAAGTCATCATAAATACAAATGTCTGAATTTAAATTAAGATTCTTGCCAGAACTATAAAGTAAGGTAAAAATTGGAAGCAGCCTGAAAAAAAAACCCAACCTGCTTGCATTTCATTGTTTTCTTTTTGAAAGTAAGAAATGAAAGATATTATGCACATACAAGAATATTCATATGCAGTTCCTCTTTACATCCCTCCTCATTGTCACTGGTTTTCTTTCCACTGAGAAATAAAACAATATATATGTCTAAAAAATATTTTTTTCTTTCAGTTAGTAGGGTTAAAATTGTATTTTTAAACACTGAGTACTTCCTCATTTATCATTCTAAATTCCATTGCTTGTTTCCAAGGAGATAGAAATATGAAGGAAAGGCATCTGAGACTGATTTGTAAGGCTTTTTTCTTTAATGAGAGTTGAACATGCCTTATTTTAAGGAACAAAGTAAACTTGGAGCCTCTGTAGTAAAGAGGTTGGCACTCTGAGTTTCATTTTTGTGCAGGATTACTTTCTGTGTCTGGCAGTGGGGAGGGGATTGTAAAATGTTCAGTGCAGTGTCAGATCATCCTTTAGTGCCTCAGTTTTCTGCCCTGAAGCACGGAGAGTTCCCTCAGCCATCCACCCTTTGTAGTAGTGGCTTTCTCCTGACAGTCAAAAGTTTTTTTTGGAGGACAAGTATGGACAGTAGACAACAACTAGTTTTTTTTCCTGTGAGGAGTTCAGAGATGCCAAATCCTGGATGGTTCCATCAATGTTGAAAAGCCTGTAATTGTTCAGCGCAGTGTAAATGCTAAGTTCTAACCAGAGATCTCTTTCTTGGTTTAATTCTGTTAATAAAATCCTAACTGAACCTGGAGGTAGACCCTCCAGTTGTCTTACCTGAAGTAGTCTTCACCACCTCAGTTGTGTTTCTTAGTCCTGTAAAGGCGAACTGGTAAAGCCTCCAGGAGCGGGTGTCCCCCACCTCCACCGAGCTGCGCTTCCACTGGTAAATGATCTCTTCTCTAGGGTAGCCATCTTATTGCAAAGGAAAATACAGAATGCTTTGTTTCATAGTCACTGATAGAGTTTAGGGTGCTTTGGGGAGTAAAAATACTATCTATCTATTTCTGGAAAAAACTGGAGAAGCATATTGCAAGTAAATTATAGATACGTTTTTCTCAAGTTACTTACTATCACCTTTTACTTAATGTCACATTTCATTAATTATAAATTATATTAGCACTTGAGACAAATGTTTCAAAAATAGGTTTTTCACTTTTGTGGACCTAATAGGATGTAATTTTGCCCATCCTCCAGATCAATCTGCAGCTGGACCAGCAATTCACAGCTTGATCTAACTGCAAAATGTCAAACTCTTGACTCAGCTGTGCAATAGTAAAACACCTATGCACAGAGAGAAAGTGGAAGGCCAGAACAACTTGATGCTGAAAGTAAAAATTTCTTGGTTTATGGTCAGATATAAGCATAAATTAATCACATATGGTCCAGAAATGTTGTAATTTTTTTATAGCAGTTCTTAATAATATTTGTGAACATATATGATACATGTACTGAAAAAAGATCAAAATAAATGTAAAAACCAGTGGGGTATGTCTAATTGAGTACATAACCTTCACTGACTCTTAAGTATGTAAAAATAAATTTATAATAAGAAGTTCAGTGTGGGTCAGAAAAAGGAATCTTTTTAAGCATGTTACTTACAGCTTGAAAATTCCAGTGGGCAAGAGTGAACATCCATTGGGAAGTTGTGTAACTGTAGCTGACACTCAGCATCAATTGTCAGCCTGAGAAGAAAGAGATCAGGATATAGGGAAGTTTGTCCTGAAAGCTACATCATGGCAAGCAAAGCAAAGCAAGATTCTTACTAATATGGATCTTGGCTATAAAATATACAAGCATTATATATCTATGTCTATCTATACCTATCTATATCTATCTATATCTATCTATATCTATATCTATATCTATATCTATATCTATATCTATATCTATATCTATATCTATATCTATATCTAATATATATCTATATCATCTATATCTATATCTATATCTATATCTATATCTATATCTATATCTATATCTATGTCTATATATCTATATCTAGTAAACTATTGAAATCTATATAATTATTGGAATATTCCCAGCATAGGAAGAAATCATGGTTACTGATAAGCAATATTTCCTTTTTGGTTCTATAGAACCTGATCATCTACTTTCTGGACTGTGTAATGGAAGAAGGTAATAAAGTTCTGTTCCTGTGCATCTGAAATGGCAACATTACTCATGACTGACAAATCCATAAGTAGATATACATGTCATCTCATGAGCAGTGACAAATCTTTGTGTCACAACATGCCATAATGCACTAGGAAAATGTATTTTATGTGACAAAAATTCTATTTCAGAAATGATGGATAGGAGTCCAAATTTAGACATCTGCATTCAAGACAGCCATCTAGACTCCCTTCACAGCTAGTGCAGAGGCACTCTGAGGATACATTTCCTCTCACTCCAAAATAAGACATTTAAATTTAATCAGAAGAAAAATGTACCAAAAGGTGTTTGTCTCCATTGAATATTAGGAGAGTCTCCATGATTACTCAGGTAGTGTAGGTGCTGAGCTCAGGAAAAGACAATCACTTTTAGAAATCCCAAGTAAGATGACATGTACCCTCTGGTGTTCCTGCTAAAAACTCTGCCATTTTTCATTCACTCCCAACCCAGCCATGAGCTGAAGGATACTTGGACTTTGGAAGAGGGGGAAGAGGTAGGGTGAGAGATGGAAAAAGAAAAGGGTGGGGTAAAATGTTCGTTCCACAAGGTGTCTCTAGGAAAGCTGTAGATTTCTGGTTTTTGCTGATTCTGGGGTTTCTAAATGAAGAGCCCTGGTTTGTCTCCAGGTTTCTGAATGAAGGTGTTGTGGGAAAAGAACGCTGAGTCTCATCCTATGGGAATGCTGGATCAACCAAGTTAATGGAGTCCAAAGACAGCCTTTCTGCAGTAGGGATTTAGGAATACATTTAATTTCCCTGTCTCCCTTCCTCTTCTCATTTTCATCATCTTCAGTACCACAGATACTTGATTTCCTGCTGGACAGGGTGGTTCTTAAACCTGGGGGATGTGACTGAGAAAAATCAATCATCCCTTCAGGATCCCTCTTCAGGACAGAATCCCAGCTGTGGGATACTATCACATTTCATTTCTGAGTTAATCGAGGTTGAATCCTTGGTGCTTGCTGTGACTCACCAGCACAATTAAATATACATTCATAGCAGATACCTGTTTCCAAATTCTACCAGATACACCTCTTTCTAGTGAGAGAAACCAAGGAATTTGAAAAGAAAGGTAATAAAATCCAAACAGACAGTAGTGAAGCCAAGTCCAAATTTAACATTTGAAAAGTGGATCTAGGCTCATCTCTACCAGATTAACTTTGATTTGTATTGGATTTCAATTCTAATTATTCTATTATCTCTTCTGGAAATGCAATATGCAGGAAATGTAAAATAACTATGAAATAAAACTCCTTTTTATAATTCAGACAGTTGCAACATTAAAAGGTTGTCTTAACAAAAGCCTCACATCTATTCATTAAGATTATGAGTGCACTTTTTTTCAAAATGTTATTTTTGGCACCCAATAAAGTAAAACCAAAAAAAACTCTGGCAAAATTCAGTTGAAAACTCAGATAATCTTGTGTCTATCATCTTTGATTCTATACTCTCATTTTAAATTATAAATTCTCTTGAAAACATGCTATGTTTATCTGTATTTTACATTAATCCAATTATATCACATGCAAGAAAATGTATAGAAAACCCCACAGGATTTTCACATTTAGGAAGTATCTTATGATCATTTGGAATATGATATTTGAGTTGTTACATATGGCATATGCATACTTAATTATTGAAAAAGTAATTTGTCTTAACAGGAAAACTATATATGTGACTGAGGCACTTGGAGATGTTGAATATATCAAATTCAGATCCATGAAAATTTTGGTGGAATGGGGCATATCCATAGGTTTGAGTAAAATATTCAATGCTGGGATGGCAAAATCTTATTTGCCTAAGATATTTGAGGAATAAATTGGTTTTTCAGGGTGGAGTTTAATCTGGTTAAACTAATCAATTCAGAATAAGAGGCCTTAATAGCTTCTAGTATATCCTCTACTTAATTCAAGGATATTTCACATTTATCAGTTTAACACAATAAAAAGTAAAAGGGACCAAACCAAAGGCAGACAATAAAACATAGCAAAAAATAAATCATAGAAAGTGATGACTAATTAGTATAAAAATGCCTATATTAATGTCAGTATAAGAAGGTGACTATTGTGGAGCAAGACACTACAATCTGTAAGAAGAAATAAAATTTCTTATTGTGCCAATATAGAATAAATTTCATAGAACTGATATCTTCTAAATTCTTCCCTTTTCCATGGTTGTTTACATAAATATATAGGAAAACACAATATTTTTTTCCTTCAGTTTAATGTCAAAAGACCCGAAATTCACAGGATTTTTTCTCTTTGGCTTTTCTTAGGAAAAATGAAATGAAAGTTAGGTACCTCAATGTGTACAAGACTCTGCCATCATTCCAGATCCTGAGCATCCTGTTAGGAGTTGTTATCCAATGAGCATCAGCCTTCTTGGAATTTCGGAAAAATGTGTCTGGTATCCAGATCTTCCCAACCATGTTACTGTTTAATCTGAGCACTTTTATGGTGCTGTTGAACTTCAGACGTCTGTCATACCACGTTTGGGCGAAAAATATATCAATTGTATATTCCTGTTGTGTTAACCAGAAATACTGATGAAAACACAGCACTCAGCATTCCACATAACTCCTGATATGCTTTCCTTAATTTCATATGAAAAACCTGGGAGCTACAGAAGGTGATACCAGACCTGATAAAACCAATCTCTTTTGGTGAAGTTTTGAGGCATGTTTCACCAGAGATTATTGTTTTAAAACAATTTATTATTTTATTTTTATTTACCATTAAGGGTAAAACTAAGGTGAAAGTGAGTGTTATATGCACTTAATTCTGTCCCCCCACATCTCAGCCCACACCTGCTCAGGTCAGAGAATTAATCATTTCCTTGGATCTAGGACAGAAAAAGCTTGAGCTGACTTAATTCCCTGTGTTAATCTCAGAAATGGTGAAGTCTTTGGAGAAGTTTTAGGCCTTTTACTTATTATCTCTTGGTGGGAAGAGTGTTAATATCCCTCATGAATGGTTTTCCTGATTTTGTAGAAATCTGGAAGCTCAGTTTTACCAGACTTAAACTGTTGCAAAGCATTTGAAAGCAGAGCACATAAAAATGTGAGGATATGTTTGAATTAATATTTTCACAGTTTTTCAGCATAAAGCTCAGTTTTCTGGTTTGTACACAGTTACACCTCACAAAGTCCTCCCACCCATAATTAAAATGAGATTTACAAAATAATATAGGTATGCCACAACATTAAGAACTAGTGGAAGCTTTGTAATGTCCAAATGATGGAGACTTTGTAACAAGGAAAATGGGTAATCCTTTACCTACCATATTGATAGCATTCACAGGGCCGATGCTATTTACATACATGTCAGTGTGAATTATTGTCGGTTTAACTGCAAGGGAAACAAAAGGAATCAGAAACCAACGAAGGTCAAAATCAACTACATGAAAGTCAAGCTTGAGCATGTTACTATGGTTTCTCTCCTCTGTGCTTGCCTCACATTTAAATGTGCGCATAAAATAAATACAGATTTGCAACAATGTCTTCAGTTTGAAAATAGTTGGAGAGGCTGTGAGACAAATTCTTACATCATTTATTCTATCAAAACAAATTCCCTTATGCTGTGAGAGCAAATACTGAAACCAGTGTTGATAGCTTAGAGAGGCTCGTCTGACTGAGAGCATTTACATTTTGTGTCAGGTCACAGTAATGCATCAAAACAAAACACTATCAACAAAAGAAAACTGATTTCTCTTATGATGCCTTGCATCACTTGTTTTATTTTATAATGCCAAATGCAACATGACTGTTGTTAACCAGAGTAGGTGGCTGTAGATAAATAAAAATTCTGTGAGCCCAAAGACAAAAATACTTGAGGCTCTAAGGCAGAAATTAAGAATATTTGTTACATTAATTTATTTGGAAATTACTCCATTTCAGCTTTATTCTTCTTATATACCTTGGGTATGGCATGATTGTGTTTTTCCCAGACAATTTTAGGAATGCTTTACTTCCTTTCTGTTTCTAAAGTCTTGGTTTAAGTGAAGAAAAATTCCTCTGCTAATTTTCATTGTATACATACACTGAAGGTTAAAGACTCATGTTATCCTTCACTGTGAAAAATTCCTTAGTTTATAAGCCTCTATAAACTTGTTAGCTTCCTTCATTAACCTTGCTGCTCTCTGCTTTCCTCTATCTGCTTCATCCATGAAATCTGTGCCTTTTCCTATAATCTTATTACTGCTGTATCCTCTTCTGCAGAGGTATTGTCTGCCTGCTCAGTGCACCCACTGGGCTTCTCAAAATGACTTCCAGCAGTTCAGGGAGATTTTCTCCAAGTTGCCTCAGTAGTCAGTGGAGAGGAATATTCCTCCAAAAGGTGATTCAGTCAAATAAGACTTCCATTCTGAGTCCAGGCTCAGCTCTATATACTTACATTGGAATCATCTGGGAAAACTGGCTTTGCTTGACTGCAGTTATCTTTAGTGAACCTCTTCCTCTGTGCCCAGTCCTGTCACCTCCTGCCCTGCTGTGATCTTTAGTGAACCTCTTCCTCTGTGCCCAGTCCTGTCACCTCCTGCCCTGCTGTGAGAGTGAGGGCCCAGGCTGCACCAGTCTGTGCAGGGCTGCTGCTGTTGGAGGCTCTGTATCCCTCACATCATACAAGGATTAGGCTGTATTAGCCTCTTTTTGGACTTTCTTTCCAAGGTATTATTTGTGATTCTCTAACAACATCTCTCAGGTACAAAACAGAAGAGAAAAACTTGCTTTATCATTCCCCAGAAGTTAATTTTTGAACATTCTATGCAGGTAAATCATCACAAGCTGCTTGATTCAGCAAATTATGACTCTCTTATTAGATGTCTTAGGATAGATTCAGCAATCTTAATTTATGTCAGCTTCCAAAACCGTGACTATTTTACATGCTTCTGATGTTTTTCTGCATTGCATTTTATTCTCATCACTACTTTGAATGTATTCTGCTTCCTGAGTAGCATAATATGACATGAAAATTCTTTCTCTCCACTGTTTAATCAAAAGTTGTCTAAAAACAAAACCAACGTACCTCCTATGTCAGGTCTCAATTTGTTGTCGTATCCTTCCAGCAAGCCATTTAAAATAAGAGTCACATCACTCTCATGGACTTTGGGAGTCAAAACCCAAGTCTTATTTGAAGTGTAATCTTCATAATCATCATCTCCCTTTTGGGTGGAACTATTAAAGAAACAAAAATGAAGAAAATAAAAGCCTTGAAAAATACAAATTTGGAGGGAACTTCCTTGGAGGGCAACACACACACATTTTAGATTTTAATACTACAGTAAAAACATTTTAAAAATTTCCCATTTTCAAAATTAGACTCCCAGTACAGATGCCAAATAACAGCTGAGGTTACACTTCACTTTATCAGCATTTTCTTTTAGTACAGTTGAGATCACATTCTGTCTGTTCAGAGGAACATCAATGCTTATCACCTTTGTCATGGCTATTTTTTCTCTCATTGGCTCAGGTGGGACCTGTTATGAAACAAATCTGTCTCTTAGCTTATGCAACTCTCCACAAAAATATCACTTATTATGTACACATTCTGGTTGCTTTACTTCTATTGGACAGAATGATTTGGTGAAACACATTACTGACGAGACAAATAATTAGATTTATTCATACAGACTTCTCATGCACCTTTTCTCCACTCTCATGAACTTGACTTTATTGGGCATTTGGAAAGTTGAGCACAGATTCTTGCCAAAGGTTTTCCTTTTCACTTTTGCTAACCAGAACCCACAGAGGATAAAAGTCTATCTGCTGGTGTTCTTCTGCTACTCAGAAATATGACAGCAGGTCTAATTCAACCTGCTCAGCACAGTAAAAAAAAGCACGTTCAGAGCCAGAATGTGTAGACTAGTCTTAATGGATGTTTTGTTTTCTCAAAATCAGTGCCTCCAGTTCTAGAGGAGAACATTGAAACTACTTTAGAATATGACATAATCAGATACTTGCATTTCAGAATGTTAATGGTAATCAGCTGAACAGTGCTAGGCAGCTGTAGGGTTTTTTGCATAATATGCCAATGCCCTTCTTTCCTGCCCTGCTTCTGTGACAAAGTTTGAAAGCTGCTGGCTAGATATGGAAAATCCTAATGATACTACAAATGTGTTCAGCCAGTGCATAGAGTTTGGATGCACATGGGTGAAAAGCAGAAAAATTAATTATTTTCCAGTTTCAACCAGAATCTGAAAAGGAGCAGGAAAGAGCACAGAGAAGCAAATTCTCGTGTGGGCTGGATCTCCTGCATGGCACACAAATTGCAAGAGACCCAGTTGGTCACGGTCATGGGTGCAGTAGTGAAGGGATGACTTGTCCCAGAGCCTGAGAGCACTAATGGTGATCTTCACTCAGCTGAGGCTGTGCCCCCTTGTCCCTATGGTGCTTTCCTCTGCATCCAGCTTGTACCTTCTCAGAGTGCAGGGCACAAAGGCTTTCCTGTACTGTTTAGGAGCTGTAAGCCAACTGCACAGATACAATCTCAGGAGGAAAGAGGCTTTGGGTTCTCTCTTCCCCTGGGCACAGCCTAACAGGAAATAGCTGCAGCTCTTTTTGCCTCTCAGTGTAGGACATTGCTTCCCAGGAGGTGCTGAAGGCACAGGGACATTTGAAGCACCCCAAGATTGCACAGGGCAGTAGCAGCTAGGATTGTGTAGAACAGATACAGAGCTGGTCTTGCTCTGAGATGAGCTTGGAAGCTGCTAATGAATGTGATCTACACCTTTGTTAGGTGTGCTGGACAGCAGCCACTGCCTGCAGCCTCCAGGCACCACCTCATCTGCCCTGCTCCAACCACAGGGAGCTTCAGCTTCCCCAGCCAAGAACTGCCAACCCAACCTCTTCATTCTGGCTGCACGAGCCTGGACCTGTAGTGTTTTATTAGGAATCAAAAGCAAAGTTTCAATTGGCAATATGGTCCATAGTATTCTGCTGGTACTGAAAAACAGGCCAATTTAATTAAATTGGGAGTTTGATGTTTTTTTATTCAGTTGTCTGGAGTTCAAAGATCTAATTGTAATTCAAAGAAACATAATTGAAGCTAAATTCTCTCTCCTGGAGGAAAGGAAATACTTCTAAATAAACTCTTTGCAAACAGAAGGCACTAGATTATATGTTTTCAAACTATGCAAAATGAATGAAGAAAAATAACTTCATTTATAAAAAACCTTATTCCTGTTTTATAACCAATTAAATAACCATTCTCTGAAAACAATGTCTTTTTCTGAATGGAAAAGAAAAATAAATCAAATGCATCATTTCACAAAGGCAACATGTTGCTGAATATCAGTGCAATGAGAAAGCTTCTCATTCAAAACTCAAACCAGCTAATTAGCAGAGTCTGACCTACTAGACAGTGCAAGATCAGAAATACATTTGTCTAGAAGTTTTCTTAGATCTAGAACAACGTTATTGAACAGCAGCTCAAAGTAACTGAAACTTCCATTCCTTATTGGAAAGTATTTGTATGTCAGAAATAGCTGTTTGTGCATCTCTCATCTCCAGCCATTTTGGCATTCCACATCTCCAAAACCAGCAAATGCTTTATGAAATTATTGGGAGACAGAGGAGGGAGAACACAGCCTGTGCAGCTGGGGGAAAATGCTATGAATTCCAGTTTTATAAGAACTCCACAAGGATCATAAGCTAGCATGGCTATCCAATTTTCTGTGTAAGCCTGCATTCCAGCCAGAAAAATCAGAGGTGCTTCTCTATCCAAATAAGCAGAGCTTTAGCCATGCAATACCATTAATACAATGAAAATTATAATGACAAAGCCCTTTTCATCTCCTTAAGATTTGAGATCAGTCCTTCTGATTATATGGCTGAAATTTTGCACGTGCTTTTAAAGTCCAACCCAAATTTGTTAAAGCCTAGATTATACCCAAATGCATATTAAAATCTATTTTTATTATTCTGACAGCTAGAAATTTTCAAATCTAGTAATATAGATATGAAAAGAAACACATATTTACCTATTTGGAGATTAAATTATAGTTTTTTGAAGGTTCATCTTTCAGGCACTGATACAAAATCTCACCATTTGAGATATTCCCACTGTGATATCAATGCCACTGCAAGATGTCTGCAACACTGCTTTACATAAATCCTTAAATACATACATTTCCCTATTTGGAAAAGAGATTACTTAAGAGGGTCAGAACCCAAGCTTGAAACTTCAAGCCATAGAGTAATTAAAGTTAGAAGGCACTTTTGGAGGTCATCTGGTCCAGTCCCTTTTCAGTTTGCAGCTGAGTCTGCATGTGGTAGCTCTGATGGTAATCATTTACAAATATAGATTTATGTATGTGTAACCACAAATGTTTAACATTCAGGGGGCTCTTTGTATGTCTCAAATTACTTGAAATACATCTTCACAAAGCAGGAAGAGGGCAGAAATAACTGGTGCTAATAAGCATTAATTTAGATCTGATTTTCTTAATAATATATGCAAAGATCTATAAAATGGTATTTCACTCTACAATTACATAAAAACCTCATTCTGCCAATAAGATTTTTACTATGTCAGAGGCGAAACAGGGTTGAACGAATGTTTTTTATGTTCCTTTCTAAAACAAACACCTAATCCTAATCCTGCATTGAAGTTGTTACTCCATTTATAATATTCATATAGCTCTTTTGAGTGCTCATTGGTGAGGAGTAACTTTAGTAACAAACTGAGGCTGATGCAAACTAAATGTTCAGGAACTTATTCTTCAGATCTTTGCCAAGGTGTTTGATCCACACATTTCTTTGCAATGCTCTCTGGGCAACATTTAATCATTCTTGGTGCAAGTGTAATCCCTGTGGGCAGAGGTACCTACTGCAGGTAGAGCTGGGGTCACCAGCCAAGGGAAAAAGGATTAATGAAATGATGCTCACTTCATTGTTATAGCCTTCTTTATGGGCCCCTTAGCACTAAAGGCATTATTTCTACATTAAAATTGTAGAAAACTATATCTCTGCTGGGAAATCACTGATGCATTAGGAAAACAATTTTTTCCATCTTCTTTATTGATCCTTCTTCAGAAGACATGGTCAAACCCATTACTTAAATGTTTCATTAATGTGCTGATACACCATTCTCTTAGCAACCCAAAGTCACAGAAGTTCACATTATGGTTTGGGAATCTTTTTTATTTTTTAGTTTTTAATAGATTCAGCATGATCTCTTTTGTGCTTTCATTTCCCATGACGTAAGTTTGATGCCTATGTAAAAATAATCCACACTAGTAAAACTTAACAAATAATTATGTTAATGGTATATAATTTTCTTACATTATTATGCTTTCAAGCCTTGTGTCTTAAATTCTTCAGTTGAAAAATATCAAGCATAGGTTACTCATTTCAAAACTACTTTGTTTTAGTTAATTGCTATCATAAAGTGAACACTATAACTTTGGATGGTCTCTGCTGTCATCTCTATATCAGAGACATTCTAATATGATTTCCAGGAGAATCATATGCAATGCTTCTTGGAAAGACACTACCATGTGTTGGTAGAGATAGGCCATGCATTATTTAATATCACAGACAACAGCAATAATTTTACAGTCTAAACTGGGGGACAGATTGAGCACATCTTATTTAATAGTGAGCAATAACTCACAAAGGATATCCCTTTGAAATAAGGTATTATTTCCTAATGCAGAAGAACATGATTTTCACAACTTGTTATTAGAAGTAGAAAGGAAAGGATACTCTGTTCTGGCCAATAAAAAAACCTTCCATGGCTGGTCAGTCTTTCTGCCTTCCAATATGAGGTCATATATTAACTCATCAAAATCTCTGTAGTTCCAGTGACTTTAAATAAGTTAGGCCAGTTTGTTTCTGCTGTGGCTCTGTCCTCTAATTTTTCTGAATATACAAAATTAATTTTAACTATTACCAAGAATTTTGTTGTGAAACTTCACCTAAGAGTTTATTGCTAATATTAAATTGTTGTTTACATGCAGAATCAGAGTAGCCACTAAGTACCTAAAGGGAAAGACCTACCTGTAGCAGTACTGAATAGCTAATTACTGAATAATTTAAATCTAATTTAAAAACTTAAGCTTATTTATCAAAAAATCTGGGCAATTTCATCTTCTATGCAAAGTAAGCTATGGAGCTTTCAGCAAAGATTTAATAAACAACTTGAATATAAATTGAGTTTTCCGTTGAAAGCACCAATGTTT